ACAAATGTACAATGAGAATATAGTAATACTTATGCTGGAAATTTTGGAGTGGATTAGTGACAGACGTATTAAAACTAAGGGTGGTTAGGGGAGCCAAGGCAATTAACCTCTGAGAAGATAAAATGTTGGAGAAAGGAAATATCGTCATAGCTGTATACGTACAAACTTTGACCTCGTCAATTCTATGGCTTAGCTGTGGCTAATGTTTAAATGATACTAAAATTTTAAACATTGCAAAATCACTTCGCCTTAGAATTTATGTTGCTCAATTGAGAAATTAAGTAGGAAAAGTTTAGAAGTGTTTTAGAGGAAAAACAAGACAGATAATAATTGTGATCAATCATCATCTTCCATAGTAGGAGTTGGGGGGGGGGAAGAAATGCTAATCTTGTATTTTACTTAGAAACAACTAAAAGAGCTGATTGAAGTATTTCTGAGGAACAGATATTAAAGTGAGTGAAGAAGGTGCAGCTGTATTTCTTGATTAGCTTAAGGGTCATACTTGAGTAGAAAACATGAATGTATTATTAGATAAAATACACAGCTGTAGGGTAAATGAAGGTGGTCAGGCTTTTACACAATCACCTCTGTGGCTATCACCTGTGTTAACATAGCTGGCGAGTGGGCTGGAGGCACAGGCTTGAGGCATGTGTACCTGACTGTGTACCCTGAGGGACGGGAGTATGCGCATGTGCGAATACTCACGCCTGCCTCTAGAGGTCAGGGATGTGAAGGTGACGCTACTCAGACATGGCTACCTAGGACTGGCAAAGAGAGGACTAGCGAAGTCTAAGAGAGGAAGAGATGCCAGAGAAAGTCCAGAGGAAAGAGCTGTCGAGATTCTTAGGGGGCTCACGTTGCTGACTGCCTGCTGGCTTGTTCCCCCTGCTTAGCATTGAAACCTGAAAAAACAATGCTTAGGTCTCCAGAATTCTTCTTCACGTCACTAGAACTAACGGAGAACCCAACCTCTCTGGGATGGTTGCAAGAGAAAAGCAAATTTAATATTGGACATAAACATCTCACCCGACGTGTGTTACGTAAAAGGAGGTAAGAGTGGGCCCGTAAATATAGCTTGACATCAGAGTAAAAATGATCTACAACCCTAAACATCTCCTGCTTCAGATCTCAAAGTAGCAGATAAATCAAGGAGAAATACACTCATTTTTCTTTCAAAGAGGCATATCTGGCACAATGCTGAAAACGGTTGGAGTGAAGGATGCATACTATAATGTCAGGGAAGGTAGTTATGATTGTAAGGAAGTAGGAGGCTTCCCAGCTTCCTGGCCCCTAGGCCTCCCTTCCTGCCCTGTGCCTGGTTGCTGCACTACAAAAGTGTAGAAAGATCATTAAAAGCTTGTGAAAGCTGGCCCTCCCTGGTGGCGCAGCGGGTTAAAGCACTGCACTGAGAATCTAAAGCCGCTTCCACATGAGTTCGATTCCCGCCTGCCCCGGAGGAGACCGCGTGGCAGACCTCTCCTGACCCGCCCGCTGCTCTCCTCAGCAGTCTACTACATAGATCTGCCTGTTCTGCTCCCCACTCTGTCTCTGGTGAAGCCTCTCACCGCCTCTGGCCTGTACCCCAGTTCTGTATGCACAAATAAATAAATCTTAAAAAAAAAAAAAAAAGCTTGTGAAAGCCACTGAGAGCTCCAGAACTCCCCTTTTCCTCATCTGCCCCATCTGAATCAATAGAAAACCTCTCTGTGCCTTGTTGGCATTGCATTGGTTTGATGTGGGCAGTAAAAGAAAATCAACTGCATAAATACGGAGGCCTCTCACCATGGCGGTGGTGAGACTATTCACTGCTTTTAGGAAGCATAATTACTAGCAGATTTCTAGAATGATGATAAGGTTTTGCAAACCCTGTCAATGTGAAACATTTTGGATACTAACATTGAGACCATAAGTTCCTAGATTATTCTTGATCTCACAGATAATGCCAATAATAATAAAAATGAGTGGGTACATTTTATAAACTAAAGGGGAAATATAATAGACAGTGGTTTCCCTCAGAAACCAAATCATCAACTGTTACAAAATGAGCAAAACATATATATGCAAAGCTCCTAGGTTCGCTTTGATAAATAACTATAGACTGCAAAAATGGCAGCATTTTTTTCTCTTTGACCTTTACCCAAGCTCTTTGCAGAATATTTTATCACTTCTTCTGCAGCCTTTACAATGTAGGTTAGTCTGTGATCTGTCTTGGCCAGTGGCATGTGGAAAGGAAAAGTGTGCTCGTGTTAAGCCTCAACATCCACAGGAAAGACAACTACTTTAATAAAAGTAAAAGTAGAGATGTGCCTAATTACACTGAATGAAAAGTATGAAATTTTAAAATAATTAACATAAAACATTTCAGAAAATAATTGTTTTGGAGGAATTTGTAACAGATCTTCCAGAATGTTAGAAAATGATTATCTCTTAGACCTGAGACTCCATTTGCAAAATCATTTCTCTTCTGAAACTAAAAGAAAATTCCCCTAAAACTAATGATTCTTAAAAGCTTTCCAGAGTATTTAGGTTATAGGAGATAAAATGTCTGTCTCTGTCTCCATCAGGGGGCATGCTGACAGTCTCAGAGGGGTAAGAACAGAACTTAGCTTGTTTGACAGCTCTGGTACCCTGAAATGAATGTCCCGGCATTAATTCAGTGACAAACTGCTTAGTGTGCTTATTTTAAATAGTGATTTTGGCTTCACTGTTGAAAAAGTTCCATTTCAATGTATCAGGTTTGTCTCCTCATTAGTGTTTGGCAAGAAAAATCAGACAACACATGTACTCAACTCATAACAAGTTTATGAATTTGTATTTTAATCCACTTCTGGGAAAAGACAGGCAGCCAAAGATCTAAATGATATATTAATGGTCTAAATTGGACTTTAATTCATCTTTTCCCAATACATGAGAAGTAATGAGGACCTAACTAAGCATTCTGTAGTGTCACATTAGTTCATACTTAAGGTCACAGACCATCTCAATAAAATCTCAAATTCAACATGTACCTTGGTCTTCAGAGTTCTGACTTAAAAAAAAAAGCAGGAATGGCTATATTTTAGTATTTTATCAATAGTTTACTCTTAGAGCATTTTATATTAATTAAGTAAAACCAACATTGTCTGTTTGGTTGCAAGTAAATATAGACCTATACTCATACATTCAAGTGAGTATCATTAGTTTACTGAATAACTTGTATTGATTGTACCTTGAGGTTTCTAGAGAGTATGATGAAAGGGTCTTATCTAACGGCAATGAACAGTTTGGAAGTTTTCCTCCTATAAACATAACATCATCATTTAAAATGTATAAAGCATAGTTTTCATGTGCCTTTTGGGAAATTAACTGTGATAAAAATGTTATTAAAATAAAATAGAAAATATATTGTATCAATTTACTTATATGAAAAATCCAGAAAGGGCAACTCTGTAGAGACAGAAAATAAATTAGTGGTTGCCTGGGGTTCGGGGTAGGAACAGAAATGACCACAAATGGGCACAAGGGATCTTTTGAGGTGATGAAAATATTCTAAAACTGGACTGTGCTGCACAGCTCTAGAGGTTTACGAAATCAATGAATTGTACACTACAAACTTTAGAGTAGATTTTATGTTATATAAACTATGCCTCAATAAAGTAGTTATATTTTTTAAAGAACAATAAATGTTATTAGAGAAATTTAAAATAAAAAGTCATAACATTTCCCATTATTATTGAAACAATCTAAATAAGAAAGATTTGAATTACTACAATATGTCAGACGTAAGCTGAACGAAGCCTAATTCTTCAAAGGGTTTTCTTAACCTATGCTGCCCATTCTGGATGCCAGAATTAGAACATGTTCTAATTTTGTCCATTGGGTCCTTACTATATGGATGCATAATATCTAGAAATGTTATTTAAATTTTAACCCCAAAGTACATCCAGAGTTTTATCTGAGGCTATGTAATCTGAAACCTAAGCACAGTTATACTAAGCTCAGCAATGGGATTCTGATATGATCATATTCCATTTTCTTATCCCTAATCAACTTATAAAACAAAGTGTAACTGCAATTGCAACAATAACAATAAAAATACTTAAAATAATAGTATTCTTTACTGAGTGTATACCATGTACCAAGCACATTAAGTGTTTAACAAAAATAGTCTTTTAATTTATACAGTAACACCAAGAGGCAGGAGCTATGCCCATTTTAAAATAGAAGAAATTGATGTTAACAAGGGTAACTGACTCAGTGTGTCACAAATAAAGTAGGTGGTGAGGCCAGCATTTAGTTTCAGTTATGCCTATCCACTGTGGAGTGGTTAGGAAGCACAATTTTTATTATAATTGTATGATAATATTGTATCTAAAGAGTTTATAACATTAATTAAATAAGGCACAGAGACATTGAGTACCTGCTGTTGGAAAAAAATGATGCTTAATGACATATTTGACTCAGGTGATATGAACCTTCAACTGGTAAAAAAAAAAATATATGCACTACCTGTGAAGTGAAATAAAGTGAAGTGAGATAAAATGAGGTGTGCCTGTAATGGTTAGAAGATGTGTGCCTAGATTATAATCTCAGTTTTCTATTTACTAACTATAAGAATTTATGTGTGATCTTCAACCTCTCCTGTCCTCAGTTTTCTTATTTAAAAGGGTAAGACATAAAGAAGGCAGTAGTATTGGGTGAATGTAAATTAATTAATATATTATGAACACTTAAAATCATGTCTTCCCTTAGGAAGGCTTCTGTTGTTAGTTTTTTATATTGTTACATAAAGTTATTATAAATGCACTTTATTCACACTTAAATTTTTATAAAACCTATGAAGAGAAAAAAGATAGTACCTACCTCATAGGATCATTGTGAAGATGAAAATGTAAAACACTTAGTATAGAATGTGGTCCATTTAACACAGTAATTATGACTTTTGTTATCATATACAATTTGCTCAAATGACCTTTATTCATTTACTGTCTCCTTCTCCATTCTTTACTTTTCCATGCCAGTCCGTGATCTTTATTCGTGACAGAAATTCTCATGGACAAGAGATATCAGGATATATTGACTATGCCCACAGACTAAAGACAGAAGATTTTGAAGTTTACTTTAGTGGTAAGAGAAGACTTCTTCCCAAATCCACAGATCTCAGGTAAATTCAACACATTTCTCACACCTTCAATAAGCAAGCCCCTGAGGGGCAAGGTGGAAAAATTTTAATTTTATGTTCTAATTGTGCTTAGAATGCTAATGAATATGTAATATGAATGTGGTAAGAATGGTTTGAGTAATAAATATATAAATTTTTTTTTAAGATTTATTTATGTATGCTTACAGCACTGGGGTACAGGCCAGAAGTGTGGTGGGTGAGAGGATTCACCAGAGACAGAGTGGGGAGCACAATAGGCAGACTGAGGAAGTACACGGCTGAGGGGAGCAGTTGACCGGTCAGGAGAGGTCTGCCATGCCGTGTGGGTAGTTCCCTGGCCGGGGATCGAACTCGTGCTGCGGTGGTTTCAGAGAGCTTCATAGTGCAGTGTTTTAACCCATTGCGTCAAGGAGAGACCCCATCATTCCTTTTTTTTTAATGTTCACCCCTATCTTTCTGAATGACACCCTCTTCCTATTTTATAGGATCTACTCTAAACTGTCAATCTTTCCGTCAATAAGTCTTTCTACCCCATTTTGAATAGCTCTCAAGCTAATTTCTTTTCTTCTATCTCTCACTTTCCACAGAATATAAAAGCAGTAGCACCATTGTGCTTTAACTCTTCCTGTTCTCTCCAGTTCATTCTTTGACTGTACTTTTAAGAGCACTCCCCTCTTCTGACATAACCGTCATCATCCACTCATCTGTATACCTATTATTTGAAGACTTTCTAACCCATCACCACTTTCATAAACTTACCTCTTTCCCTACTCAACCTAGAGGCATGTCATATCATTTAACTAATCTTTTATAATAATCCCCACTGTCTGTCTTTACGTGCTTTGATTGTTTCTGTTTTGCAAACCTCAAAAAAATAGATTGAGCTGGACAACTTGACTATACCTATAACTGAATCCCTACATAACGCCAAATGAGTTACAGATGACTGCCATTAACCCATTTTGTACACCTCTACCAACACCTTACAGTATGTTGTATTTTGCAGAGAGTCTTGTGTCTAAACAGAGAAACTACCAACTGATGTCTGTACCTCTGTAAACTGAGTTGGCATCCCTTTCAGGCAGTGCCTCCTCATAGTGCCCTTTGACTATTTCCAGTCGCATTTTCATCTGGCAGCCATTGGCCTGTGAGCTGCCATGTGCATTCAGAGCATGTCTGCTCCTGACTCTTGGAACACCACCAGGACATCTTGACCACTCCCCACCCCCACTTCCGTCCACCTCAAAGAGCCAATCTGTTGCACACTTGTATACACATTCCCCCAACTCAGCAAGGCTTAGGCGGCCTTAAGGGAACATATACTGTAGCAATGACTGAGACTTTTCTGGTGTCATTTCTAACACAAAATACTTCAGACCCCAGATGGCTGCACTGTGTATCTCTAAAGACGGTTTTTATTTTTTTCTTGAAAAGTGTGAATCATTCATTCTTGCTAAGTGAACTATTCCCGAATATATGCATCTACTCTCAACATATTTTTCCAGATTCAGAGGAAAAAAGAACTCCTTGTACTATTTAGACCTAATTTATTCAACTTGTTTCTGATGCCTTCCACCCCTCTTTCCACTGGAACTATGCTTCATGTGTTACTCCTCCTCCTCCTTCTTCTTCTTCTTTTTTTTTTTTTTTAGTAGCATAATAGTTTGGTGTTTTTTGTTTTTTATTACATCATTTTATGCCTTTTCCACCTCAATTGTAATCCTTGTGGGCTTGCCTCTTTTTTTAATAGATTCTCCAATTGACCTTCTGAAATGGCATCTTCATCTTGCCTCTAAACATCCTGAAACCATTAACATATTAAAAGAGGTATTTCTTTTATGTATTCCAACCATTTTCCTATCTCCTTTTCATTTTCCAGCTAAACTCCTCAAAATAATGGGTCCCAATTCTCACTTTCCATGTAGGCACTAATTGCTAATAGTTCTCTGTCATCATTATTCAAATAAAACAACTCCTGCTAAAATCATGAGAGACTGCCAATTTCAAAACCCTATGGATTACTTTCAGTTCTCATCTTAGTTAACTTCTCTTCAATATTTCATTAGAGATGATTAATTATGTCTATTTACCCTTTCTTCCCGAAACTAAATACCCTAAACTTTTATTATCAAAATCCCTCACTGAATTCTCCCTTTGTTTATTTCATACATGATTGGTGTCACAAGGGTTCATTTGGGTAGTTTTTTTCTTAACCTCTATATTCTCCTATGTGATCTGATCACTTTTCTGCACTATGGTATAACTGTGATCTGGCACAGATTTCTCTTATATTAGCTCAGTTATCCCACTAACTATAGAAAGTGCTTAGGTGTCCCATTAAAACTCAAAATGTATGTTTAAAATCAAACTTATTTTAATCCGTGCAGTGTTCTTTTGCTTCTATATTGCCTGTCTTGGCAAGTGTAACTACCTTTGTAACCCAAGCCAAATCCCATATATTGTCCCAGACCCTTTCCTCTACATCACTACTCCACAATTAATAATTTACTGATAACACTAGATTCTATTACCTTAACAACTCCAATTACATTGAAGATTTAAGCTATGTGATTTCATCTGTAAATACTTCAGTACGGATCTTTGTTAATATTTTAAAGGAAAACATGGCATTATTGATCTAACAAATTAATGCCTAATATTAATCTAATGCCCAGTTAATCTTGTTCATATTGTATTGTTTTAAATTGACCTTTTCACAGCAGGTTTGCCCAAACCAAAATCCAAACAATATAACAGGTTTTGTTATTCTATCTCTTGTACTATTTCATGTTATCACTGTATCCCTCCTTTTTATATTTTATGTTTTTTGATGGGAAAACCAGTCATTTGTCTTAAGAAGTGTCTTAGATTCTAAATGTGAATAATCGTCATACCCTACTTCTATCCTCCAATCTCCTGTCAACTGGCTTGATGAAATTCAATTTCATTTGTTTTTTTAGGTAACAATTTGTAATATGTAAAGCTCCGAAGCTTGATCAGTGGGTCAGGTGGTATGAATCTGACAGCTCCATTAAAAATTTCCTCATCAGGTTTCATCCAGCAGTTATAGCATACAATAAAAGGGTCTCTGAATAGTTTAAGTGTTTCATAATGATTTCCTAATTCTCCATTCATTCTTTATTTTTACTTATTTATTTCAAAGATTTATTTATTTATGCATATAGAACTGTTGGAGTACAGGCCAGAGATGCAGGGGCGGTGAGAAGATTCACCAGAATCAGAGTGGAGCACAGCAGGCAGATTGACAATGTACACTGCTGAGGGGAACAGCAAGCGAGACAGGAGAAGCTGGCTGCACCATGTGGGTCATCTTCCTGGCCGGTAGTCGAACTCATGCTACAGCAGCTGTGGCTAGCATTAACCTATTGAGCCACAAGGGAGGGCCACATTCTGTATTTTTAAACTAAAGTTCTTACATAGAGAAAAAATTTACTTTATCACATGTTTGATTACCCTAAAATAGAATTTAATGCATACGGAAAGACAAAATAAATATTTGAATATTTTCCTTAATTTTAGGAAAAGAGTATAGCCAAAATCAAAAGAATATACTAACATAAGACACTTATATTAGTTATATACTAACATAATTATGTTACGTACTAACATAATTTCAAAAAGTGCTTACACAATATGTACCCACCAAATACTAACAACTGATAGTAATGATCATATTTTCCACTGTGAGAAGTTACAAATGAGCTCCCCTGTGGGTTTAATTTTCACTTTTATAATTACAAATTAATTTGTGCAACTTTTCTTGGTTGTTTAGACTTCTTTTCTATGCAGTAAAACTTTTCCTCTTTTTTTAATTGGTTATTCTTCCTTTTCTTATAAATTATGGGAGTGTCTTATAGATTGCAAGGATTCACTTCCTTTTTAAGGTTTTCACGATTAACTTTGTTTCTTTGCCATATTGAAAAAATATCATGTTCCAGGATGCAATTCATTTACTTCCTTTACATTGTCATAGTTGTCAGAAGCTTAGAAAGTCAGGTTAAGGCATTTTACTCATTTTCTCCACAGTTTGTGACTTTGGTGTTTTGTTTCCCAAACCCCTAACTTTTGGGGTATTATAAAGATCATGTCTTATAGAATGTTGAAGGTTTGATTTGTATCTACCTTCTTGGTAGATTAAAGATACTCTACCAAATTCTATAGGTTGCTTGGGTAAGGGTCCACATTTTGTTCTTATTTTCTTCATCTAATGAATTCCTAGTCCTGCAACACTTACTCCCTACTTCTGTAGCACTATTTGTGTAGTAAGTTACTTACGTGATAGTTTGTTTCTGGGTCCACTCTCCTATTTTATTATTCCCCTTGAAATGATAAAATTTTATTTGTTATATTTTTATAATAATTCTTGTATAAAGGAAGGCAATACCTTCACTTCATTTTTCTTGAGTTCTTATGCACACTCATAAAGATACAGTTTTGATTGGAATTGCTTTTGAGTTATACCAATATGCAATTAATTGATATATTCATTTTCTATTTTTATTGAGATTCGTGATATCTGATCTTCTGTTATGCATTTATGTTTATGGCAACTTTAATGTCTTAATAATAATAGTTTATAATATTCTCATTAGAGAGATTCATATTTTGTACTTCTCTGCTCTTTGGTGCCAGATAATTTCTGACATTTAAAACAAAATGAGCTCTACTCCATTTATCTGAATAAGCATTTTTTACAACGTGATTTTAATTTGGTTCATCTATCAGAATCAGACTTCATATTTTTCTACTCCAGAGATTTCACGCCAATAAATGACTTAAACAGTTGTTGTGAGGGGGGAAAAAAACATGAGTATATGCATTTCCTGACTTGGTTTAGTTCAAAATTAACAACAACAAAAAACTTTAAAATTAAAGATTTCATAAGCTTTCTTTCTATTCACTTACCTTTTGGCATTCTGTTTTATTCTACTTACACAGAGACATTAGTTCTGTGTCTAGTATCCTGTCTTGCATTTTTACTG